TCAGTCCAAGATACCAATCCTCCCCCCTACCCTCCCATCTCCGCTCCGAGACCCGTACACAACGTCTCCCCCACCACCCCATCTAGTGCACCCAGAGTCCTTTGCCGCAGTGGGGGCAAGGACCACGAAAAAATCTTACGCAAACCGTACAACGCCAGCCAAGCCGAGCCGATTTTCAGTAATTACCAATTGTGTATGCTGGTGATTGCGATTTCATGCGACGCATGATGTAACGCTGTTGTCCCAGCCGATGCCCTTTTCCCCCTGCATGCAGGCAAAGCCAAAACACTACTGCCAACATGAGTGCAAATGTTAAACTGTAAAGCAACAAACATTCATACTGATGCCGATCTGCACACAAAAACGAATGGGCGCATCGGAAACGCCGATGCGCACTACGACCTGGGTTTGCTCTATTTGCCATTGTCAAGGTTGGCGTTTATATCCTATAGAGATAAACTACGACAAAATCCGGTAAATTGATGAAGGATCATGCAAATGGCAGAACTGTTCCTTCACAACACTGTTAGATGAGGTTATGTCTGCCAAATCCCCACTTTACAAGCACTAATGTGGGATGAGATCCCAGACCAACAAGGCTTAGTGTGCGACAAATTAAATTTTCGATGTGTTTAGTTCGCACTTTTGTTTGACATCTACAGACAAATTGCTGGATGCAGAGGCATGTGAGCTGGCTTCATACTGTGGCTTCAACCATGCGCAGTACTGTGTTCAAAAATTCAAGCTTGTGCTTATTTTGGCGCTGAACGGTGAAATATCACATCAAAAAGCGCCGACTCATGAACTATGTAACAAGGCACCTCGGGTAATTCCTAAACGTCGATTTCGCACAACGTACGCTCGTTTTTGAATTCGCGTGCGAAATACAAACATGTAGTGTCGGTCCTTTGTCTCGATGAGATTCCAAATGTCGCGTCCAAGCTTGCTAACATCCACTCGCCATCAAATTTCTTGCTTAGTATAAAAACCTCTTCATAACACCCGGCCCTCTTTCTAATTCCTACATGCAGGCAAGTTCTCACCTACTCCCCGCTCAATAACTCCATCCCGTTCCCTCTGTTACCTCTCCCTGACACCTAATCGACTAACCTGACCCACCCAATTTTCAAAGTACTACGGCTTCGTCTAGCTTAAGCGACGTTATCAAAACAGTGTATGCCAGAAACAGTAGCTGGACTGATCATGTCAAAAGAATGAGACAAAAGATGGGGGGAAACGGATCATTAAATACGCCCACGGAATGCCAAAAGAACACATGGGAACTTCTAATGCAAACCAAGAATCCATTTCGACGCCTTCGCGAAATCATGTAGATTAGGCCTAAACGAAAGGGAATGGAAAAGGTTCCAGCTGCACCAGCTGCGAAAAAGAACATGAAAACCAGACAACAACCGACCGAAATTGACTGGTAGAATTTGTCTAAATTATGACCTGGAATCAAGAGTCAAGGCATCCAGAAAAAAAAAATCCGCACTGCAAAATTATTCGACACATAAGAGGTAGAAAGAGGAGAACGCAAGTTTATGTATGTTAAACCCGGAACAATTACGCAAGATCGAGATCATCACTGATTTCAATCATGGCTGTTGACGGGCCATCGCTTGTTTCAGGCCCGCTACGTGAAGACCCAGCTTGCTCCAGCTGATCACCAAACATCCGCATCAGGCGCTGTAAATTGTCGCAATCAAAAGCACATTTCTCAGGTAAGTTACAAAACGATGTTGCAATACGCTTAGCTGAAAATTAATTTTCTCTCGTCATGTTACTAGCGACTAGAACAACCCTCAAAGCTCCCGACGGTTCTCCTCCAATTACAGCTTAAAAGAAGTTGCACTACGGTCAGCGCTTTTTTTAAATTTAACAAATGGAAAGTTTACACCCAAAAAAAAATTGCCAAAAGTTCTAGCTGATTACTGGTAAGTTTAAGCCGATGTTGACGAATAAGCTGGATAAAAAGCATAAAGAAGTGTAAGGTGAAGCACTGCTCTATGATGTTGGAAGTAGCTGTTGTAAATAACAATGAAAGGGACCCACAGCTTAAGGTGGATAACAGTACAATTCAGGGCAAGAAATACTTATGCGCAGCTAAAGATTCTTTCCAAAACTCTTAAAAATAGGTACAACGCGTAAGGCGGAGCAGTTCTGTGGAACTAATCATATTTTTCGATCGAAACAACGAAACAGTGAGGCATGTGCGCTCCAAAATGACCTTGAAAATACTGAAACTCAGCAGCTACTGGTCGAAAATATCGATATTGGATTAATTCAGAGCTTACCATCTTTGCTTCCGGTAACTTTTGTACGAGAAGGGCAAAATGGTCGTTTGGTAATGTTTGCTGGAAGATTTGTAACAATTGCGATGGCTGCCCGCACAATACAATCGCATTACACAAATGTTCTACGCCTCTGTCGACATGTCCTGCAATCCGAAATTATTCAAAAATTATTATAAAAAGCAATCACCACGTTTCCGCCTCAGCACTTAAGAAATTATCGAAATGTAACCAACCAGTATCTCGAAAATGAACCTAAAACTGCTGCAACTATTCAAATATGCGCATAACAAACCCGCGTAGCAAATACTGCATGTACTTTTCATCTACGACAACGAAAAGAAAGAGATCAGCAGCAATGTCTCTTCATCGGTTTACACACTAAACATCTGGCGGACGACCTATCAAAAGCTGGTTTTTTGAGAGTAATTAGTGAGGTACCTTCGCCGATTAGTTCCTCGCCTAACTGCACTTCTTGCAAGAAATAAGCCTGGACTTCGGCAGGATTATGAGGATTCGGCAGTGTTTTTGGTTGTTTCTTCAGAGAAGCTGCCCGACGCTCTGTAAATTTCATGAGATTAAGAGTACAGTAACCAAACTGCTACCAAAAATTACACACACCATATGAGACGCCAAACAAATGCAACACGTGATCGGCCGGTATGTCCGGTTGCTGCATGTCCCGTCTCAACGCTGGCTCTTTTCAGTTTCCACACCAAATTCTCCCTCCAACGAGATGCGCTAGTGAGCTGGACGAGGTGACTGTCATCAAGTCAGCCTGCGTCCCTCCGGACAGAGACAAGATGTGCGATAGTATCCACTTCCGTTTAACGGGCAACATATTTTTGAATGCTCTACGATCCCGGCTGAAACGCCCTGCAACCGCTGACAAGCTGAAATGGAATGAACAGCAAAAGCAACATACGTTCCCTCAATTTTTTCTTGTAGTCCGGTGCACTGCGTCTTTTGCGGTCAAAATAAACACAGTATCCGATGAATGCAGCGGCGGCGAGCCCGGCAGCGGTGACGATCGCCTGACGAGAGAAGGCACTGGATAAGAAAGAATCACTGCTCATCCTGAAAAACTTGTTGTCGAACAACCGCCTTCCCCTCTCCCCGCTCCTCCACAGCACTCTTCCGGTAACAAAAATGGCGCGCCCGCACAGTTGCAAGGGCAATCCTGGCACCCCCGCCTTTCCCACACTCCTAACTCAATACAGAGAATTTACAAATGGAATTTTATATAAACGCACAGCGAAGAATTCTTCACGCCCAAACACACATACTTACGCTAAAGTGCAGAACATAACGCAAAAGTCTGTGACGATGCTGAACAAAAGAACAAGCGGATGCAGAGGCACACGTGCACGGAACCGAAATGATATTAGAACTGATGAATTCCCGACATCTCCCATACGCCCTGTATAAGTAAGGGACCAGCCCACCCTCAGTTATACCCCCCTCCCCCCGCGCCCCCCCCAC